AAAAAGCTGCAACTAACTTTAAAGTCGACTTTATTTTGACTATGACTACGGGCCAATATTTTCATACAAAATTTATTACGCACGTATTTGACTGTTCACATCTGAGTATATATATGAGTGTACATACGCACCCCAAGCATGCAGAGCGCCGCTCTGAGAGCGGTGACAACACACACATTCATACATAGTTACACGTGTTGATGGATATTCAACATTTGAAAGCAAATTTATATGCCTGGGTGTAGCTGAGTGCGCAAAGATGCATGCCACAATTTGTTGATATCCAGAGATGGTCAGGGTTGGAATTCCACTGCAGGCAACATGCAAGTTAAATATTTTTTTTTTTTAGTTTTTGTCTTGATTATTCACTTCACGGATGCTTTTTCAGAACGAACGCGGTCATTTTAATATGCGCGTAATTGAATTGAACCGACGCGCAGATACGTAAAAATTGATAGAGAAACGAATTTTTAATTATCAAGTGAAAAAAGAAAGCTATATAAAGAAGCAAATTGCCAACAAAAAGTAAATAATCTTCACAGTCTCCTCATATAATATTGAAAGAAAATAAAACGCGTTTTTTAAAAAGTAGAATCGTGTTTCTCGTGTCAAAATCTATAATATTATCAATATAAAAAACACAAAAAATGTTTTGTTTTTTTAATGATAGGATTTATGCATGTAATTTTCCTTGAAAGGCAATTACATTAGCTTTCAAAGCCAATTTATTTCATATCAAAATATTGCTTCTGTCGAAAGCGCTCCGATTAATTGGCACGAAGTGTTAAAAAAACACACTGTGTGCCTATGTCTATCATACTTGGGCGTACAAAATTTTTGATTTTCGGGATACCCGATCAAGGACCATCAGTATCAAGCACCTTCAGCACTACTCCAGCATCAAACAGTTTGCAGGCAACCTGCTACTACAACAACGAAATAACGAATAAGCCGTCCTACCGGGCTTTCAACTCGGTTATTTTTAGTGATAACAATTTCAATGCATATCACATGACTCTCGGCACCTCTTCACATGCCCTGAGAACCCCACCCAGCTGACGCCCCTGTCCCTATGGACAGACCCTATTGAAGTCGCAGACACTATTGAAGTCCCCTTAGCTGAAACGGACGACAACGTTGACGGATGAACCGACCCGAGCGAGGCTTAGTAGCCGCTCTAACAACAACAACAACAACCACAGCAGCAATCTCCCTCTTTGTTGGCCTGTTTCATATCGTTGATAAGCCGAGACCATTCTATTTTTTTAGTATTTAGAGAAAAAATATTCAATGGACCCATGAACCACCCTGGTATGCACTAGGCGGTTTTTTAGTATAATTTTATGCATACATACATACATATGTATATACGTTTGCATGTGTGTGTTTGTCATTAATTTAATAAACCTTATAGTTTATGTTTGCTATGCACTTGATACGATTTTTTATGTTTTATTTTCACTTTGTTATTTGGAGCACGACATGTGTGGCGCACTCACTCACCAATTCTTCCAAAATTTCCCCTTGTTTAAATTTATATATACATACATACATACATATGTACGTATATATGTACATTAGGCTGGTCCTTTAAAAAACAAAAGAACGATTTTTTCAGTCTCACCCCCTCAATCGGTAATACCACGATCACAGATATTACATATAAATTTTAATTTCGATAGGAGACGGTTAACGCGTGCCGCACAGGGGGGCGAAGTTCAGAATCCTCTATAGAGACTCAAAAAATTAAAATTAATTTTTTTTTCATCTAATATCCAAAATCGATACTACTTTAGTCGAAGATATCACATATAAATTTTGGCCCCATTGGAGTCGGTTAAGGCATGTCGCAATAGGTTCAAAGGCCAGAACCTCAAAAAATTAAAAATATTTTTTTCATTTAATACACAAAATCGATACTACTAAAGTCGAAGATATCACAAATGAATTTAGGTCCCGATTGCAGTCGGTTAAGACGTTTTCATAGGTAATCTGAACTTTGACCCCTGTGCGATACGCCTTAACCGACTTCAATTGGGGCTAAAGTTTTCAATGTGATATCTTCGACTAAAGTAGTATCGGTTTTGGGTATTAGGTGAAAAAAAAATTTAATTTTTTGAGTCGCAACAGAGGAATCTGAACTTTGCCCCCTGTGCGACACACCTTAATTTTGCTTCCTCCATTTAAGGGCCACCCTATCGTACATACAGTGACTCACAAAAAAATTTTTATTTTTTTTTTTTGGTTTTCAAAATGTTTTTCATGGTAAATTTTTTCATACTTTTCTTACAACAAAACCATGTAAATCGAAATTTCAAACTTTGAGGAAAATTAAGGAAAATTTAGTAAATTTTCAAACGTTTTAATAAGAATTTTTACAAAACATTCGAGTATTGCATTTCTTCATACTATAATTGAATGGGTTATAAAACTGCATATTCGAACTCTTTGTGAAACTTCTCATTAAAAAGTTAGAAATTTTGATGAACAGTTTGAAATTTTTGTCGGCCGCTGTGGTGTAGTGGTAAGCAGTGTGCGCTTCCACTCCGCAGCACCTGGGTTCAAACCCTGGTCAAAGCAACGTCACAAAAAAATATAGAAAAAAGGTTTTTTCTTAACAGCGGTCGTCCCTCGGCAGGCAATGGCAAACCTCCGAGTGTATTTCTGCCATGAAAAACAGCTTCTCATAAAAATACAATCGCCGTTCGGAGTCGGCGTAAAACTGTAGGTTCCTCCGCTTTGTGTGACAACATCAAGGCGCACGCCACAAATCGGTGGAGAAGCTCGGCCAAACACTAACATATGTTTAAGCGCCAATCTATTATTATTATTGTTTGAAATTTTTATATACATACATATCTGGTTTTTATTGTATATATTTTGTGAGTCACTGTATGTATGTAAATACATATATTCGTAAATATGTATGTATGTATGTACTTATATAAATATGTATGTACATATCGTCGTTTAAAGTACAAAACCGCGTATCAACAAAATGGAAAACCGCGTATCAAGATAATACAAAACCGCGTATGTGAATTTTCATAAATTATTTTCTAGAGAGTAAAAATACTCAAAATGGTTCTCTTTTTTATAAAGCAATCGCATTTTTGTCTGGTATATTTCAGAACGAATGGATATGGATTAAGCCAAGAGCTTGTGTAAGCAAATCCAATTTTTGGCAGCAAATGTCAGTTACGCGGTTTTGCAGAATGACGATACGCGGTTTTGTACTTTAAACGACGAGATATGTATATGTATACATTTAGTGGATATGTACTCAGTTTTAAATTTATGAATTCTCACAGAAGTTTTTACTTTTTGTTGATAATAAACTTACAAACAACAAACAGGCTGGTCGCTCTGGAAGGTACATGCTCCATATGTATGCAGTCGTATGACCGCGGTATCGTCGATTTCGCTAACTATCGCTTGTAAAAATAAGTATATACATACATACTATATACATACATATGTATGTTCTTACATCACTATGTACACCCCTACATACTTACATATGTATATACATACATACATATGTAGAGATGTAGAGCGTTAACTTTTACTCGTGTACCCCCTAATGATAACCAATTTTGGGGAGCGTAAAATTTCCGCATTGACATTGTGCGCACAATCCAGTACACCAGCCAGGCAGGCAGACAGTACCAGACCGCAACCGAGCAATCGACCATTCGCTGCCCTGGATGCTGCTGCTCTTTCATATACTGTAAATAAATAAATAAATAAATAACGTTGATTCCGAAAGTGAGACGGTAGCAACGGTTGGCTGGCTATACAAAACCAACCAAACACAGTTATATTGACTGAACAATACCTGCGATAATTTATTAATTCTTTTATTTTCTTTGTCTGGTGTCTTGATTTAATAAATAAAATAGTAATAAACATGCGTTTCCTGCAAGCAACGGTAGTGTCGAGACATTGTGCCATTTTAAAAGGTAAATTTTGTTAAAATGAAAAAGGAAAAAAAAAAAACAGAGACATCTCTAAAAATCGATTAAATTCATTTGGTGTTGCCTAATCGCCTAATATTGTACGTATCCTTTTGTGTTCTTTTTTTTTGGAATCTTTTCGCTCTGCATTTGCCATGTCCCCGTGTCCTTCTAAGGCTTGGCATATCCTAGAAATTATGCCACTGTGGCGGAGCCAGCGGCGCCTGCCGTCAAAACAAAAACCATACCAGGCCCAAAATCGTTGGAATTGAAGGCGAAATTAAGCGCAATACAAGTAAGTAGTAAACAATTAAGTACATACATATACTCAATTGTCTATTATAACAGTGATTTAGTTGTTTGTGCATTTATATGTATAAAAGAATATTTGTTTGTGTGTATTTAATAGTTTATTAATTGAAGTGAGACGACACTTCATTAAGGTATCATTTAAAGGCTTAGTACGCGGGCACTAGACTTACTACATACACATAAAAGTACATATCGTTTAGCTTTAATTCCCAAAGGCCCTAACCAACAAATTTTTTAATTTTACAGGAAAAACGAAAAAAAAATTAAAAAGTATAACAAGAACAGGTAGGGTTTTTTAAAAAGTGGCATGTAACTCCATTGTTTTTGGTACTAAGACTACAATTTTTATTAAAGGTGTATTTTAATATAACCCACCAAAATCTGTGAAAACGCAGTTTCGAGAAAAGGTGTTGGTAGGTATCGATATGTAAGTATAAATTACATTAGGGGTCACGGACTAGACGTTGAAACAAAAATTAAAATTAATTATATATTCACGTATATGTGTATGTATACGGGGATATGTAAACACAGCAAAACAGGCGATAATTTGACACAAGCGTGCTCATAAGAAGAAGCATGGCTTCTATCGCTATCACCTGTAGTTGATACGCCTTTATCAAATCTGTACCGTTCGTTCGATTTTACAAAATGAGGATGTGTAATAACTTCTAATTTTTTCAAGAGTTTCCACCTGATAAACAAATTTAATTCAAATTATTTTTAAGTTAAATCAATTATTACACTATGAGTATCGATCGAAAAGGCTTTATTTTTTAATTATACGTAGTAGGGTTGCCACCTGTTTCAAAAAGCAAGTTCGACTTAAATAAAGACAGAAATTTGAAATGTTTATCCTGATATGGATGTCAGACGAGCATTAGGTTAAATAAATTACTTCAAAATTAATTTAAATCAAAATTGCTTTGAAGAAACTTTATTTCCAAACTACATGTAGGAGGGTTGCCACCTGATTTTATAATTAAATTAATTTGAATTAATAGGATTAGATAATTTATTTATGTATCACAATACAAGTGTCAGACAAGGTTTTGGTTTAAAAATTATTTGAACAGGATTGCCATCTGTTTGAAAAGTCTAATTAAATTAAGTTATATGGAATATTGGAATATTGGCGTCAAACAAAGTAGTATTAAGAAATATTTAGTTTGGACATTTATAGCATTAAAGACGAAAACGAAGAAAAATACTAATACGGGGACCTAGGCTAATATAAATAGCAATACAAATTTCTGCAGTATGAAAGGAAATAAAAATGAATCGAAATAATGATACACGTCTTGTCATATGTATGTCTATTTATAAGCTGATGGTAGATATGATTGAAGCTAATGTGGATCTGCTTCTGTATTGCTAAGTATTAATATTTTGCAATTCATACTGATTTATTAAATTTAATTCAATACAATCAAAAAGAGTATTTCATGTACCGTTTTAAGCTTGAATGTGATCTTAATAATATTACGTATTCTACGTTAAAGTTTAGCGGCTGTGACACCGACACAGCCTCCAGGTCAAGACGAAGGCGCTGGACTGATCCTTTGTCTACGTATACAAGCAAACAAAAAAAATTCGCCGTACACCTTCGAACCTAAAGTATTTTTGCAAGGAAATTAGGAAAAATACTATTGCAGCAAATGAAAGATATATATGTATGAACGAAATAAAGTTAATTCATAGCCAATTTATTTATTTTAAAATTAATATATAATAGATCTAAAAAGTCAGTGTAAATAAAAGATAAACTAATATAAGTGTTGCTGGTTATGGAATATATGTCTGTATATACAAATATGTTAATTAATGCATTCAACTTTTTCAGAACTCTGAACCAGTTCAACTTTTCGCTGACTATGAAAAGTCAATTGGAAATTATTTGGTTGATGTCGATGGTAATGTGTTACTTGACGTCTATACACAAATTTCTTCAATACCATTGGGCTATAATCATCCCCGTCTCTTGAATGTCTTCCAAAACGAAAAGAATTTAAAAAGTGAGTAAAAAATATAAAGTTTATTTAACAACAACTTGTTTTTAAGCAAAACTTGTTTAGTCGCAATTGGAAACTGCTTATGGATACCATAAAAAACCAACAACATGTATCTTATCGCTTTATTCGTTTAATCAGAGAAAGTTTACGACTGCTCTGCAATTATTTATTACAAAAAAAAAAA